AAATGTCCGGGAGCTCAGGGCAGTCAGGAGAGCTTGTGAGACCTTCCTGACAAACCCTGTCGCGCCGCTCCATCCTGGTGCACCTGGACAACACGGCGGCTGTGTTCTACATCAACAGGCAGTGGGGAGCCCGGTCGCCTCCCCTCTGTCGTGAAGCTTTGTGGCTGTGGGACCTGTGCTTAGCGCACAATATATTTTTGCAGGTAGAATACCTGCCGGGGTGCAAAAACTTGCTGGCCGATGCTCTGAGCAGGTCCTTCGGAGCCCACGAATGGTCCCTCAAGGATTCGGCCCTTCATCAGGTCTTCCACAGGTGGGGTTGTTCCCTAGTAGACCTGTTTGCCTCGGCACACAACACCAAGTGTCAGAGTTACTACTCCCTGTTGGGGCTGGGGGACCACTCCAAGGGAGATGCCATGACCGTGCTGTGGCCGGCGGGCATCCTCTATGCATTCCCACCATTTCCCCTAATTCCCAAGGTTCTGACCAGGGTCAAGACCTTCAGGTCCACAGTCATCCTGATAGCCCCTCGGTGTCCCAGGCAGTTCTGGTTCCCTATCCTGGTGGATATGCTCAGTGAGGAGCCTATAATGCTCCCGCCAGTTTGGGATCTCCTGACCCAGCCTTGGGACAGAGGGCTCATGGTTCACCCGAATCTCATCTCTCTCCACCTGACGGCCTGGTTTATCTGTGACTGACGCAACCAGAAAGGGAATGTTCCCAGGAAGTGCAGATGGTGCTCCTAGGTAGCAGGAAGCCATCCACCAAGAGGACCTATGCAGCCAAGTGGCAGCAGTTCTCGTCTTGGGCGTCCAGAAGGGGAGTGCACCCGTCCTGTGCACCTGTCCCATCCATTCTGGACTACCTTTTCGAACTCAGGTCTGGTGGGCTCTCTACCCTTCTATCAAAGTCCATGTGGCATCATTCTCCTCCTTCCATGTTCGATCGGCAGGAGTCTCTGTATTCTCTGACCCTGTGGTCAAAAGGTTCCTTAAGGGTTTGGATAAGTTGTACCCCTTGGTTAGACCCCATATCCCCGCTTGGGACCTTAACTTCATGTTGTCTAGACTTGTGTCGCCCCCCTTTGAGCCACTGGCCACGTGCTCTTTGAAGCACCTCTCTATGAAGGTTGTGTTCATTGTAGCCATTACATCGGCCCACAGGGTCTCCGAGCTCAGAGCGCTAACTGGCAAGATAGCACACCGCGGATTGGACGACCAAAGACTCTGGGACAGGCTGGGAATATAGGTGCTCGTGTCCCGACTGCAGGACATAATAGCACCTCTCGACTCCCTTTAAGGTAGAGGTTAAGGAAGCCAGGGTCTGCCACAAGGTGTTAGTGATCTTAGCCACAGTTTTGTTGAGTGGCAAAGCCAAACGGGCAGGCGCATCGTCAGACAGGATGTCTATCATTGGATCCGTATCCTCTACTACTGGCTCCACTGGGATACCCAGGTTGGAGGCCAGAAGCTGGAGCAAATCCTGAGCATCCATGGTCGGCATCGCCAGTGTAGGATCTGCTAAGGCCTCATCAGGAGATGAAGATGACTCCTGAATCGGCACTGGATCCAGCGTAGGGCCCGGTTGAGGGGCCGGCTGGACAGGCACCGCTGAGTGCGGAAGTGGCTCTGGCACTGAAGCCTGTGGGTCTCTAGCAGCATCTATGGTAGCAGTCCTCTGGGGCAAGGGAGGGGGTCGTGACAGCTACGCTGATGGGGGCACTCGATGCCCGAAGACACTGGATACCGCAGACTGGGGCACAGGCCCTTGCCACTGATGGTATGCCCACAGTGTTCAAAAAGGCCAGTGCGGCTGAGGCGGCCAAATCTGTTGCACGTGTGAACAATCACACCGGTGCCGGGAATGGGATCTATGCTGTGACGAAGCCCTCGAGGACCTCGATCTGAAAGAGCCCACATCTGAATCTGAAGAGTAATCAGACTCGGGCCAGAGTGGCGCTGATGACAAGTACCCAGTCACCACTGGAGGGGCGAACCTGGCCATGGATTCTGGCTTACCCATGTGCATGTGGTGAGGTCGTACCGGTGCCAGTACCGGAAAGACAGGCTCCGGGCCCGACTGTGGCGCCGACACGGTGCACGTGGACTGTGGTGCCGAGTTCGCCGATGCTGGTACTTGAATCGGTGCTGAAACTTGTAGCGGTGCCGAAATGTGCAGCGGTGCTAGAACGTGAAGCCATGTCGAAACTTGCAGCGGTGCCGAAACTTGCAGCGGTGTTGAAGAGGCTGGTGCCGATGACTGTACCGGCATCCTGGGCAAGAGGCCCAGTGCCGGTACTGCTGACGGTGCCATTGATGGTGCCACAAAGCCTGAGTAATACAGCACCGGCACAGCTAAGACCAGTTCCGGGAGAGATCCCAGCACCGAGGGACGTCAAGTCCAGTCGAGCGCCAGGTGAGGCCTGGTAGCCTGTGCCGAGACTGGCAATGACGTAGAGGCAAGCAGTACTGGTCCCACAGGGAACGGTCCCGCTGCATACATGATCGGTGCCGACCAATCCAACCAGTGCGGAGGAAAAATCGGAGCCAACATGGCTCCCGGTGTAGAAGACCTCGACCTCTTCGCCTCAACAGACAACGGAGGGGAGGTAGTGAGGCTAATCAAGTCCTGTGCCACCTCAAAAGTCTCCGGCGTCGAGGGACGATGCGAGGGTAGCCCTGGACTGGATGGTCGGCCTGCTCGCTTCCGCCGCACTTGGAGACGTCTGCAAGAGCAACTCAAAGCGACGGTGTAGGCCCGACCTGGACTTCCGGCTCGGAGACCTACCCCACAAAATCTTTAGTTTCTTCAGTGCCAGGGAGTGAGAACGGTGCCGAGCCCTCGGTACCGAAGTCCACTCACGGGATGGGGTGTCGCGTGTTGATGCCGGCGCACTCGCACTGTGGAGTGGCCAGTCGGTGCCAGTTGTAGAGCTGCCTCCATGAGGAGAAGCTTCAAACACGAGTCTCGCTCCCTCTTCGTGCATGGCTTGAACGACCTGCAGATCTTACAGGCGTCTGCTAAGTGGCCCTCACCCAAACACTTTAAGCAGCTATCGTGAGGGTCTCCCTTAGGCATGAACTTAGCGCATACTGCGCAAGCCTTAAAGCCTTGTGGCCCTGGCATTCCTCACCCCCAAAGGGGGGAAGGAAAACAAAGATCTCGCTAACAATCTAACTAATTAAAACTATTTATAACTATTTACAAACACTACACTAAGAGAAACGGGAACGATTAACTACTCTAAGAGAGAGACATGCTCCAACGACCGTCACGGGTGGTAAGAAGGAACTGAGGTGGGGGAGCGCCGGCAGGGGTTCCACCGTAGCAGCGGGTACCGCTAGGGAAAATGTTCTGGAAATACAGTGCACGCAGTGTGCACACCTGATTCGAATGGACATGAGCAACCACTCAAAGAACTCCTCTTTTTTAGCGCCTTTTTGGCATGAGGAGAGCTTAGTAGAAACAGTACTGACCTGGACTGTGGTACCAGATCTGATAAGGGGTAGAGATTTTTCTCCAGCAGGATCAGCTAAAAGCATAAATACCTGTCCCTGTGATCTCTGATCTTGAGCTTGCTACTGTGGGGACAGTCCTGAGATTAATATTTTTCTTCAAGGCACTAGATACATTGGGAGTGTTCGTCTGAGACAAGGCATTGTGCTCCTCCAGGAGGCACAACCATTAAAGGCTGGGAAGCCAGGCATTTTAGCAAGGAAAAAGCATTTTTTTAATTTAATTTAATTTTTTTAAGAATATTAACTAACTCACACTAAATAAGAACAATGAACTATATAGCAACTCTAGTTAACAAACTAACACTAAGTGAGGCAATGTTGTCAGAGAACTGCAGAGATCCATCTCAGGCTGGGGATGGTTGAGAAAGAACTGGAGAGCTTGGGCCACACATATGCAATTCTGATTGGCATGGCATGAGCAGTTGGCACTGCACATGTGCAGCCCATGCAGGGACTGCTTCAAAATCTACAGTTGAAGTGCTAGGATGGCACCAAAACCAGACCAAATGTGGAGCACCCACGGTGACATCTCTTGAAGAATTCTAGGTTAATATTCAGGAACTCAGCTCCTACACAAACTTCACCCAGCTGTCCCCCAAGCAGGGACAATAAAACCTTCTTAACTTGTCTACTGGCCCCTGATTGGGTCAGAGTCTCGTTCTGGCCCTTCTAGTTCCTTGGAGGACTGAGAGAATTGCCCTTAAGCAGGGAGGTATTAAGGCACTGGTGCCTTCAACCAGGGCTGGACGGAGGCATGGGCGAGCTGGGCAGCTGCCCAGGGCACCAACTGCTGGGGGGGGGGGCCCCTGATGGCAGCTATAAGGGGTGCTGTGTGCCCAGCCGTGCGGTGCCCCTTAATGCTGCCATCAGGTGCTGCACGCCTGGGGCCGGAGGCCGTGCGGCACCCCGTAGAGCTGCCATCAGGCGCCGTGTGCCTGGGGCCAACGGCCGTGCGGCGCCCCTTAGAGCTGCCATCAGGCACCACACACCCGATTGTAGCTGTAAGGTGCTCAGCGCACCGGGGAGTGGGGCTGCGCATGCGCCGTGCACCCAGGGGCGGTGCCGTGCGCCCATGCCCAGGGCGCCAGAATACCTCAGGCCGGCCCTGCCTTCATCAGGTAGCAAAGAAGGACTGATAGGTCCAATCACAATAAGACATAAGAGGTGATTTTTCTTCTTCTCCAAAGTCCAGCTCATGATTACATTTGATTCCATTAACAATAAATTACCCTCCTTTTCTTTGCTCCCTTCCACATTCCATCCCTTGGGTTTCTCTCTGCTTTCCTTGCTGTTCTCCCCACTTTTCCTCCAGTGAAGATGTATAATTTGGGTGGTAATAGAAGAATAAAGAGATGTGCAGACCACTATATGATTCAGATTCCTGTGCTTCAGGGCAGGTAAAATCCAGTCAAGACTAATTAGACCCATTGCTGATAGATGTGCTTAGTGACTCCTTCAGAAAATGTTTACCATCCCACTTACCTGAAGCACGCAATAACCCTGCTTCTTCTCTAGAAACCATCTCTGGATGCCACCAATGTTGCAAACTACTTCCCTGCGTCCAGCCTTCTGCTGCTAGGTAAAAATCAAAGAAAAAAGTCATAATTATGTTGATGATTTTGTTTCAGCCTGAAAGGATTAGCCTATTTGTATTTAACTCTCTTTTTGAAACCTCATTCATATTTCCCAACAAACTTGGGATTCTTAATGCAAGACCCTGCTCTTGGTCAACTGGGGAAACATGCCAACTTACACAGTATTTTCTTTAGGATTCAGCCATGCTGCATAAAATTGACCTATTAGGAAATGATTTGCAGAGTAATTATACTAATTACATTTCAGATGTCAAGGTTTTGCATGTAGGTGCCTAGTTGGATGGATGGACGGACGGATGGATGCATGGGAAAAATAGCAGGGAAAAATTATTCTTGAGCATATCGTGCTTCCTAGCACCAGTAGGCTGGTATAGGGTTGAACAACTGTATGTAAAAAAGGTTTCTCAGTTTATGCCTGCTGGGGCCCGATAGCAAGATTACGTTCATGAAATGATTTTCAAGATCTAATACTGGAAATTGTCTGAAGATTGTGGACCTGGCCTTCACGTTCTCACTCATGGTGAAACTACACGAGTAATCCAATAACTATGACAATGTCCACAGCATGGAAAATTAATGCTATGCCAAACCCTTAAAAAAGCTTCAAAATTAATGTCATAATACTCCTTAGGAAAAGGCACAATTAAAAGTAAATAACCTCTCTTTGTTGGTGAAAACTTCTTTTCATGAGCAATGCTTAGTGGGAGTGGTTTAATGTTTTACCAAGTTTAGCCATTAAGTTAGCAGTTTTTTTGGACCATTATACTGTTGCTTCATTTAGGTTCTCTCCCTTTCCTGAACATTAAGGCAGGAGCACAGGGAATTAACATTTACAACAACATTAGCAATTTCCCATTGGATAAGACTGACATAAAAAGAAACAAGTAACTGTCTAACATTTTAAAGTCTGCCCTTTACCAGGCATACACTCTGAGAGGTGTTAACTCACCAACAGTGAGAATTAAAGAGTAAACTGTCAGCTTGAGCAGTATAACCATCTGATCCCTGTGTTAGCCTCACAATATGCTTAACAGGATTTTCATCCTCTACTTCCCCCCAATCCAATAGAATACATACTTCTGAGCTATCTACTTGCCAAACAGCAGAAACATGTACCTTCTAAAAATCAATTCAAATATATAATGGATAACAGTGGAGACAATTCTGAACATTCTCTTGTATTTCTTTTGGGAACAGTAAGATTTTAAGTGAATGCACCAAGCATCTTAAAGGCTAACAGCAGATTAGCAGGTTAACTGTTGAAATAGGTTTATCAGATCAGCATGGTGCTCTTCTTGTAATTATGTTTTTACAGCTACTTTAATAGATGGTATAGGAGAAGGGCTTGTGATGTCAGAGTGGGTAGGGCTTAAAAAGAGGGATAAAGCTAATCAACGTAGGTTGAATTTGTATTTAAAGCAAAGTCAGCGTTAGTTAAGACAGTTTTTGACGTGTTAATCTTCATGTGCTTTAAAAGCTGCCAATCATGAGACTAAGGCAGCTTGAAATAAAGACTCATGGTGAATATACAAACTTTTGGATGTTCATGGTGTCCTCCTTTATCTTGAAACAACAGTCTTCATAATAGGTGTAAGTATACATGTTAATGGAAAAATGCTAATTGTTTTAGTGTGATGTGGCAGTATAGTCATGGTTATATAATATCAGGAAATGTATGATTATTCAGATTTTAGTATTAAATATCCATACATCACAACAGAAAAATCATACATCTAGTCTCCTTTATGCCATTTTTAAACCATGGTATTTAACTCTAGATAGGGTTCTAGATAGGGTATCTTTAGGAAGAGATAGGTATGGTTAAACCATGGTACTTAACTCTAGATAGGGTTCTAGATAGGGTATCTTTAGGTATCTATATGGTAATACACATGTTGGGGCACTGGCTATCTGTTAGGAATGTTCTCCTTGCATATGCAGCTGAAAGCTTTACAATTTTTACAAAATCAAATGGATCCGTTACATTTTTTCCTGAAAATCTCTTTCATAATTAGAACACTTCATGTTTTTCTAGATGGTTCATTGTTGCATATACATTTACTTTTCTAAAAAATGCTGCCCATACTTAGCAGAAAATTTCAAATGGATGCAACAGAAAATTGAATAACACTTATCTTAACCCAGAGGAACTAAAATATTTCATGACTAATGGTGATAAAATATTCCTTAAAATTAACTAGCTATTAAACAGCTACAACTTAGACTTCATGTTAATTTTTCTTATTTGAAGTACAGCAGAAAATTTCAATGAGTTGCATTAAGGACTGAAAGATATTTTAGGGACTATTGAATTTTGCAGTTTGATTAATTAATTAACCACAAAATTTACTTTATTGTTTTGCTTTTACAAACTTTATTTAGGTTGATGTGTCTCTAGCACATGTGACCTCTTGATATCGAATGGGTCCTAACAATACTATTTTGCAGATTAACAGTATTTTGTATCTTTATACCTTGCAATATATTTTGTAAAAATACTGAAGTCTTAGTAAGATGAAACTTCCTTACATATTACTCTTAAGGAGAGTATGAACACTAAGTCCTGAGGAGAGTTAATGAATTTGTAGAAAGATTGAACCTTGTATATATTGCAATGTGGACTTAATACTTCAAGATCTCTGGAATTTCCGTAGCAGTTTAGTGAAAATGAACTACACATTTTCTGTTTTCATAGGGTACAGCTACACAGCAACATTATTTCGAAATAACTTAGCCCGCGTCTACACAGCAGGCAGTATTTAGAAATAATGCTGAAATCCTGTCAAGCTGGAGGACTTCTTACTCTGACTCCCGTAAACCTCATTGTATGAGGAGTAAGGGAAATTGGAGGAAGAGTGCACTACTTTGAAATAAGTGCTGTGTAAACGCTCTCAATTTGTGTAACTTCTTTCAAGTTAAGCCCTGCTGTGTATACACCCCCTTTGTGAACAATTTTTCTCAAGCCCATAGAAAATTAGGGTAATTTCTTCTCTCCACACTTTGTACATCATACTCCTATCTTCCAGTCACCGTCTTATAGAGAGAGCACTGTACTTACTAAAGGCAGCATTGATCCAAGTTACCATGTAAGGATCTGATCCTGCACAGTGCTGAGCTGAAAGCCCTCAGCCTCTTCTGAAGTCACAGAATGTTGGGCTGTTCAGCTGAAGCCTGAGATTTATGTAGCATTTTATTGAGTAAATTTAAGTTTTAAGGCTTGTGGCATTGCATATTTACTCATAAAATAACACTGGTTATTGTAGCCTTGTTATTTGATAACAACCTATATATAATTTAAGGTGACCTCCAAATAATTTTTTGAAATGTGGGTGTGTGTGCCCTTTTTTGCTTCATGATACATAAGGAATACCTGAAGTTATTTTTATTTAATCAGCTTGTATTACTTGAGATATACTGGAAATGTTCAGTGCAGTTTTTTCTTAATTTGCTGGAGAACTACTAAAAGGTTTCAAGGATGTCTATTGTGACCTCTAATGCTTTAATGGGGAAGGAGAAGGCATTGAATATTAACTAAGGCTTTCTTTAGTCACACTGTTAGTTAGTCACAGAAGTTCAATCGGTGTGTAAAACCCCCCAAAGAGTTTTAACCAGTCTGGATAAAAGTGACTTTCTCTTTCAGCAACTCAGTTTTCATTCTCTTGGCTCTGGCGATGATGTTATCTGCACTAGGATTTTCAACAGAATTTAAATCAGATGCTCAAATCCCAGAGGAATGCAATGGGATTTGGGAGCCTAATTCCCTTAGGTTCCAGTCTAATTCTCTTATTTGCTAAGAGTTTTCTAGCTTATCCAGGACCTAAATTTTCCAGATCTGATCTGGACCCAAACAAACCTGATTGTACCTGAATCCAAGAAGGTCAAGTCATTTTTTGACCCAATACCTCCTCCCCAAACCTGAATCAGTTTCACCTGCTGACCCTGGGTTCTGGGGAAATGCCGCACGGAACCCAGGGTTAGCTGGGGAGTCCCCAGCTGACTCCGGGCTCCACGCTTCGGCTTTTTAAAGGGGCAGCGTTGCACAGCTGAGCCATGGATTAGCTGTGTAGTGGCTGCCCCTTTGAAATGCCGCCTTGGTGTTTCAAAGCAGCACCCCAACACAGCTGATCCCCAACTCAGCTGTGCAGTGCTGCAACTTTGAAGTAAACCTTCCCCCTCCCCTTTGCTGTCTCTCTTTCAGAGAGACAGCAAGGGGGGTGGGAAATCGACTAGTCAACAGACTATCGGATAAGCAAATGCTTATCGGATAGTTGGCTAGTCCTTAATACTCTTATCCTGGACCCCTGAAAACTTAATGACAGCCCTGGCAACCCCATTACAATGGAGTCACAACCCACTTTGGATCCTGATCCACAATTTAAGAGCTGCTGGTACCACAGTGGAGCCCTAATTGAAGCCTTTATTTACTACAACAAAATAAATATAAATATAAATAGAGCTATTGCTTGTGGCTAAATCACTACATTAAGACTCAAAAGATTTGGGTTGAATTCCAAGTTCTGCCATGACCACTGTAGTAACATGAAGGCATAAAATATAAGCCCATGTAGCACAGCACTGGTCTGAGGCCTGAGGCCTAGATAAAAACAGACAAAACATGGCTAGCATAAAGCAAAGCTAAGCTGTGAGCAAGAGGCAGGCCCCTGCTAACAGAACTTGGCATGAACAGGGCTGAGAGAGCAAAACACTAATTGGTAATAGGCCCAGGTGTAGAATAGTAATTGGTCATAGTTGAAAGCACATTACAAAAGATCTTGGTACCCACACTCCTCACAGATACAGACCCAGGTTCAGGAAAGGGTCTAAAATGACAGCATGATGGATAGAAATGATCTAATCAAACCACGAGTTACAGGGTGATGGATGGTATCTAAATAGTGTGTGAGTGTGGTAACTAGACAATGTCAAAGGGTGGCAACCTGACATGTCAACAGTGATGTGTAACTTGTTTGTACCTGTATA